TTTTTACGTCGATTTATTTTTGCGAATTTGGGTCAAAAAGCTGTTGATTAATTTTTACGCTTCAAATTTTTGCGAATTGTCACTGGTGCTAAAAATAAAAATCACTGAAGATTTTCATATCAGGTTATGTTTCAAATAATATGCCCAGTTAGAATATCACCAATATACTCACAACGTGGCAAGATATTGCAAAATCGCTCCGAAAACAATTTTGATAAAAATACAAAAGGATTTGCACTGAAAATAATTTCTAAGTCAATTATAACAAACATTTTAGAGGTTGTATATGCCTTTTAACCTAAAGTATAATCCAAATGAAGAAAAAATATAACTAATTTTCTCAACGTTTGGTTTTCTCACTTAAAATTTACACGCCGCGTTTACATTTGGAACTTTCTAGTAAATGCACTGAGTTTGTGTTATCGCCCGTGTTGATACACGGTTAGATAAAATGACAGTTCTCTCTTTATTGGCAAATTAATTGATTAAAATAATTAAAAAGGGGCATACCGCCTCAGTGCTTGTCAAATCATCGGACGATATTGCATATAATGAGGGCAATTTACGCACGGGTAATTAATTTGTAGTTATAGCAGACTAGTGTAAACAGGTTTCTTTTAAAAATGACCACTGCTTACCGACACCTCTTCACTGAGTTAAAAAAAGACACGAGTTCTCAGAAAAAAATTCTTCGCATGTTGATTTATTTTTAAGAAAAATATTTTTGCGAATTCAATGCACGCGCAAATTTTCTAAAAATTTATCTACAGTAAAAATTTCCAGATTTACGGTATGAAACATTCTTCATTATATAATTAAAACTTAGATGCTTCAAATCTTCTCTTGCTCGGTAGCAGTGTTGACAATGTTTCTTCCATCGCTTAGAGAGTCATGAAAGGTTTCCCTCGTCACTGCTTTACGGAGATTTCCCGCAGACTTTTAGGGGTTTCAGATGATGAGGTGACGCTATAAGACTTCTTGTCTGTGACCAATTACAAATGGATCACTACCAAGATCCCCCGTGATGGCTTCCTGATTGTCACCACGAGAACTTGTTATCACGTGACCAAGTGAGTTGATAAGAAATTATGTCTTTTTTTCGTACAATTCTTTATAGGCTTCGTTTGTGATTTTCTGGTGCAGAATTCTTTTGAATGTGTACCTTAATGCCTTCATCAGGTGTAAACGTATACTAGTAATTGTGTATGTGATTGACGAATTTATTCCTAAACAAAAAAAAACAACTTTACAGTTGTTAGAAGAAATATATCTTGTCATCTTAACCGAATACATGATTACATGTATATCCCATGAGTATATATATATAGACAGTAGCAGAGTTGTATTGCACGAGCAGAACGTATGACTTTCTTTTTTGATACCTATAGCTAACTTTTATTTAATGGTTTCATATTCTTTTCATGAACTTTCCTATTTCAGTAATTATCCGTTAGTTACTATCAGTAATAATTACTAGTATAACTTTTCAATGTTTTATTGAATTAATAAAAAGTTCAGTAAAGAGCCAAAACGATTTAAACGAAATGAGATTTGATGAAGACACACGTAATCGTGTGTCTATCTTCCTCTTCACCTTGTAAGGAGTTCTTGAGATAGCGGTTAACAAGCTGTGAATTGTTTGATGACCCACCTTTACATCTTCACATACACATCAAAGGAATGAGTCTCCAATTTCTATAGATCTCATCAGACCCTTGTAACCTGACACCACCTCTCATGATTTAGAGGTCTGTGTTTGCTCTGCTCCTGGTTTTTTGTATTGTTTCCACGGACTTCTCAGCTTGATCACTGTTTATACTTTCATATCATTTTTAAAAGAAGTCTTAAGATATTTTGAAAACTTGCAATTGATCTGCGAAATAGAAGTGATACGAATTTAGAACTTTTATTTGCAAGTTAATATCTATAGATACATTGGGTTTAAAAGAAACGAAAAAATGTTTTAATGTTAGGATAAATTTGATTGTGGAGGTATTAGTTTTTACATGCAACCTGAGGGCCAAAAACAATTTCTTTAAAACAAAATGTTCAAAGAACACATTTTACACAATCAACACATAATCTTTATGTAGAATGTGGTGTCTTGAACATGTATAATAAGATTTCAAAACTTTACTTTTCATGATGGAGCTATTTATGGTTATCAAACTTATTTTCGGAATGAATGAATTTACTTTGCATTTTTAACTCTATTATGTATCAAAGTATTTGTTTATTTGTATAAGACCTTTCATATTGAAATTAGAAAATGTTGTTAAAACTATATGTTTCTTATAAGGTACATGTATCCCACAATACACTATAAATCCATGCATGTTTCTTTTTTAATCAGTTCAAGTATTAATTGACAATCTTTATGTTTATGTGCATGTGCAATGCAGCGTTGTCAAGGACTTAGTTCTGAAACTAGACTAGACGGTTTACACTGTGCATCTTGACATATGCATCTTGGATACATGCATCTGAATTCACAGTGTAAATACCCCTTTTGTCAGATTTAATGTGTTGCATCTTGACAGACGAAACAGAACTTGTTATTTTTCATGTGTCAAGATGCATTGAATTTACCAATATGAAGAAAGGTCAGAGTTGAAATTGGATCATCAGTCGCATTTTCCTTTAGATGGTTGCAAAAATTATATAACAAAAAGAACAAAAATAGAATACTGATTAAAACTACAATTATAGAAAAATCAATTTGATCATTAACATGAAGAGGAGTTTTTTTTTTATTATATCTTCCCAGAATTATCATAGAAAGAAAATAAAGAATAATTCGTTCAGCTAGAATAAATCCAGAAAGGGACTTTGAAGCCTTGTTTTTTTTTTAGTGGATAAAACTTCCTTTCATAAAGTATTCTGAAAATGCATGTATCAAGACACATAGTCTAAATAAGACGATATATGAAACATATGGAGATAACAAACAGTATTCAAGATCATGAGACAAAGCAAAATAGGAGCAGAGCAAACACGGACATCCAAAACATCAGAGGTTGGATCAGGTGCCATGGAGGAGTGAGCATCCCCTGCTGACCGGTCACACCCGCCGTACGCTCCTTGTCATGATCGGGAAATACTGAGGAATCGAAAAATCAATTCAGAGTATAAATAATGGACTAACTATAAAAATGAAATACGTCTTAATCAGCATTTCACTCATTGATAAATTGTATTTGCTGACATCATATTGAGCACAGAACTTACGAAAATCAATGATGATTTTAAACGAGACTGCTGATATTCTTATTTGATTAACTTGTTTGTCAAGAATTTGCCTCTTTTTAGAAATTGTTCATACGTAGAGCATGTTCTTGCGTATCGAATCAACTGAGACATATAAACCCGGTATGCATGTGGTGAAGGTACATTGCTGCATAAGTAAGGGAAGTTGGTGATTGTAATGTTAAGGTCATTACGTTTATCACAGAGCTTGGTTGTTAGATTACCATGAACGTCTTTTTCAAGGAAAATATCCAAATATGATACAGATGTATCAGACTCTTTGGTATCTTTTGTATGAAGCAAAATAGAAGCATGAGTCGAGATGCATAGTGCAAACCGCCTTCACCACTTCGTGAAACGGAAATTACGCCCGACTTATTTTGGCATAAGCCTCAGAAGTGCACCTGAGTCTTTTGATGAGACGGGCCCCTGTCAGAGCTTTAATTTATAAGGGATGATTGTATATAGAGGTAGAAAGTCAATGTTTTGATTTATTGATTTTGGTTACATTTTTATTTCAAAATTTACAAATTTTCTTGGAATTTTCAAGTATCTACAACGGATTTACACTACTTCTCGAATAACTTGTTGCACATTAGCTGTTAATATTTTAGGGAGGAGTAAAGAAAGAGGCTTGGTAGAAAATTCAGAGAAATCTGCCATCAATCTTTGTTTGTAAAGACAATGTCATCAATATATCTAAATGTTGTGTTGAAGGCAACAGCTAGTGGTTAGTTCTTGTTACAAACATTTAAGAATTTTGAACAAAATCTGCTTCATATGAATATAAAACTAGGTGTTGTTTTAATTCATAGCGAAAAAAAAAATCTGTGAAATCATTTTAAAGAACTATATGCATATGAAAATAAACAAAACTCCTTAAACAGGTGTTGTAAATTCATAGTTTCAGAAAAAAATGTACATATTTGTGAAATCATTTTGTGTGTTCAGGATAAATATTTTGATATAATGTGTAGAATGATAATATCAATGAAATATGTCAATATTGTAACACTGTGCGCTCTATAAATTTTAAAGCTTAATTGTCCATTTTGTCCTCTTTCTGAAAAAGGATATAAAATCGGACTAGTTTGTGACGTCATAAAAACAGAAATTGTGAATACACTGCTCTGGAACTATAATATTTTCTGTTAACTTATATTTCTCGTACAATTTATTGAATTCAGCACATTTCAGGAAGTTTTCAAAATTTGACTTTTGTGGGGGCAAACATATGCAAAATACCGCATATAGTTCTTTATGGTGGGTCAAATTCAAAATTTAACTGGTTTGCCAGGAAGTACCTGTAATCATACCCCTGGATCGAAAGATCTCAGGGTATATTGTTTTTGTCCTGTCTGTCTGTTGTGAACTTTAGCCTAGCCCATAACAATTTGGCCGTCAAAGGTAAGTGTAAATCACTTGTTCTACGTCCCACTCCAGCATTATGTTACCATATAGCGTGTTTCCGTGGCGGGTGTAAAATTTGGCGTTTTACTTGCTCAAAGGTATGCCAGAACTGTGTTACCTTCTGGGGCACAGAGTGTTTTTCGCAGATGAACACTAAGCAAAAAATTTTACATCTTGTTTTGTGGTTTTACATGTATTTGGCATTCTAAAGCTTAAATTCTTTGAAAAAGTAACTTTGTGGGAATGTAAATTTATTGATAAGAATGACCTACAAAATCCACAAACATTAGTGTCATAAGAACAATGATGACTACACAGTACCTTATTAAAAAATAAAAAAAACTTTTTAAAAGCTTGCAAAAGAGACTTTTATTTGAAACGATTTCAAAAATAACAAATGGACATCAATACATCTGAGACAAATCCCTGATCTTTTACATCAGATCTTTGATAAACATATCAATGAAATAAAAATAAACTTTTAAATTAAGAGATTACAAACCTCTATCACACTGTTGTATTACACCAAAATAAAATTTTGATGAAACAACTTCAATTGGAAAAATTATACAATGTTGATACTGTAAAAATAGCACTGAGATTTTGTGTTGAAAATGAGATTTCATGTAGAAAAAATAAAAAGCACTATAAGTGTTTCACTTTTAAATAGTTTTTCACTTTTAAACTGATCCAGCAAAAGAAATGCCCATTGCTACGACAATAAAATTAATCACACCAAAAAGAAAAATTTGATTTTTTTTTTTAACAAACTTACAAAAATAAAGCCATGCTGCTTACAACAAAAACTCCCTTCAATTATGTTTAAAACAAGCATAGAAGATATGAACAAAATGGATTTCAAACTTTCACGAAAAAAGTATAAACTAAATTGAAAAGTAATTCAATTTTAAAGTTGACATATTAAAACTATACGTTGAATATTCAAACAAATCTTCTTGCATCTTTCTACCTTTGCCAATTAATTGACAAAATGGAAAGAAAAAAACTTCCTATAATGAGTTTTGAGAATAGTTTTTTTTTAACACAATAGACATTTTCTGACTTCTCTTATTCCCGAATTTCCTCTGTTGTTGACTAATTATCCTCTAGGTTTTTTCTGTTTCACCAATATTTATATTATGCATGGCATGAAGAATCCTGCTATTTACTCTATCTTTATAGCTTGTCTATGGTGGTCTTTATAATGTTGATGCAGTTGTTTAACTGTTCATCGTTGATGATAAGGGGCGGGGCAAATCTGATGATGTCACCGTGTGTGGGCTTAGCCAGCAGTCCATTGTCTCTTAGTTTTAAACACACTTCCCAGGCATCATATTCTAAAAAAAAAATTTTAATTTAATTTGTAGTTTTAAATATATGTACTTTAGAACTTACCCGATGATGCCAAAATAGTATTAATTGTATATATTTTTATTAACTGGGTAATACTTGAGCTACATTTTTTACTCTTTTTTTCTCTTGGATACCATAAACTTTAGAATACAGGAGATAGATAATTAATTAATCATGACAATCCTTCATTCTTTTTGCAAATTCTTCTAGCTACTGTAAACCAACTTATATTAGCATGCGAAGAATATTCATGAGTTTCAAAACTTACTTTGAATTGCTAATATCAATTGACTCACACCATTATGTTTGCTTTGTATTTGTAGAGAATGTTTTCTCAGTTGTAAAAATTAAAAAAAATTAATCCTCGCTGATTGATTTTAAATTGACAAATCACAAATAAAAGATGACGCAAAGAATGCTTGGTTTTCAGTATATATCATACACTAAAGGTGATAATTAATACCAATATTTCATATATGTTTAATACAGTGTTGTTCATATTATATATATATGAGACTTACTTTCATTGATGACGATGGCATTAAGTAGACCCTTGCCTCTTACAATTTTCACCTTTTCCTTTGGAAGCTTGGCAAGTTCACTTCTCAGTACCTTTCCCAGCCTTTCTGCATTGTCTGCTAGCTTCTCTTCTAGCAAGACCTACAAGGCATATATGTCAAAAGTTCCTCAATAAATCTCCCTGCAGTTGAAATATCACAAAATCTTTAAAATTTCATATCTGCTTTGTCTTAACTATAAAGATCACCAAATTTTCAAGATATCTTATTTTCTTAATATAGTATTTAGTTTTAAAAGCAATAAAAAGTTTTCAAAAGTCAGAGTTAGTTTTATAAATAATATTCACTTTTTAAAAAAAATTAATTAAAATTTTCACCAGCAGACAGTATTGCATACTAATAACACAAAATAAGTGGTTTTTTAAAAAATAAATTTTAAAAAATAAATTAAAATTTTCACAAGCAGACAGTATTTCATACTAATAACACAAAAATAAGTGCATGGTTTACAGTAAAGTGGGACAATGTTACCTCTAATGCTGCGATGGCGACTTTACATCCGAGTGGATTACCTCCATACGTAGAACCATGCTCACCAGGCTTAATTGTCAGCATGACTTCATCATTAGCTAGAACTGCTGAGACCTGTCACAAAAATAGGCTACAAGTAATGCCAACATACTGGATCAGTAAAATAATTAAGTGTTAAGTTCTTTTATCATACTTCTACTATTAATTATTCCCTACAAAAAATTTAGATCATTGGATGTGATTCACTTCTTAAAAATGATTGTGATGTGAATGGATAAAGCCTCATTTTACTGTGTTAGTCAAGTGAGCTCATCCCTACTTTGAAATGTGTATTGGTATAATAAATCGGTAAGGCCATATTAAAAATATTCCTAGATTCTCATCCCTGCCCGCCCCGATTTTATACCCCCACCTTGATTTTTTTTTTTTATTTCTGTTTTTCTTCGTCTTAATTCTTATCGGGATCGGTATTCATCTACCATTCTACTTTCGTTTTAAATCCCGCAAAAGTCGACATGATTTTGATGGCTGAAAAGATGGTAATTGCTGCAATACATGCGTCTTTATTTTAAGCAAGGGTCATTGGTTGAAAAAGATTGGTGATGATGTGAAGTAAGAGATAATTGAACCTTTACTATGACATTTATTTGGGTATTGTAGATAAAATTGCACCGATTGACCAGGTCGATAAAAAATCTGCAAAATTGAAAAAATAAAAAATATAGAATAAAAGCCGCCTGCCCGCCTCGATTTTTAAAAAAAATCGGATGAGAATCTAGCAATTTATTTATTTTGGCCTAAATATTATAACTGTATCGTTGGGGAAGCAAGGAAGATTCCAGTTTCCAAAATCCAGGGTTATTTCCCTTGACTTCCCTATAGTAAATAGTCCTTGTCTCTGGGAACTGGAATTGAGCAAGATTTCAGTTCTGTTTGACCAAGGATATTTCACTCAGCTTTACTTCAGAAAAAATCCTGACCTCAGGGAACTAGAGCTTTCCAACTCCCCAAATGGTATACATCAAATGAAACGGGTTTTTTTTGTGTAAATTCAGACTACCGGCAACTTACAGGGTAGATGCCTCCAGACAGTGCCTTCCCCAGGATCAGGAGATCTGGCTTTACATTCTCATGATCAACAGCCAACATTCTACAAAACAATTTATTTTCATAGATTGTTTCATTTCTTTATTGATAAAGTTATTTCACAGCCTGCCAATTTTTTAAACTATTGGGATAGAGAAAAAAGAAAACAGTAACGTAAACCAACTAGTATTCGCGTGCAAGAAATATCTGCGAGTTTTGTGACATTATAAACTTGCAAATATTAAATTGCCATGTACTACTTATTCTGCTTTGTATATGTAAAGAGTTTCCTGAGCCCAGCAGTCTTCACGAAAACTCACTGGTCCGAAGACCGAGGCCAGTGAATTTTGATGTCGGGTCAGTGAAAATCAAAATTCAAGAAGTCCGATAAGCTTGTTAATTATAAAAATTATACAAAGTCAAAATATACTTTTAACTGACTTGCTTGCGTAAACTTCATTAATATATGAAATAAAATGAACAAACGTGTGGTTGAATCATATTATTGTAACATGGATGTATTACGTAACAACCGTAACTAGCTACAATATAGTACTAAGTATTAACTAGTATGTAAAATGTGTAAATTTCCAACAAACAACTTACCTAAACGCGACAAAGGACGAAATATGGCGGCATTTCAAAAGTCGAAGTACGTAAACAACTAAACATGTATTAATTTAAAGTTATGTAAATGTATCTATTTTATTTTTTAATTAAGGGGGCCAGGAAAAATTATAGTGTGCCAGTAAATTTTGAAACTTCACTGGTCCGACTGGCCAGTTAGTTTTAAAAGTTTTCGTGAAGGCTGCCCAGTCATGAAAATTAATCATCATGGATTTATTTCTGACAAATTTGTGAATAAAAATGGTGCAAATAATAGTTGGTACACAGTATTTTGATGAAAGCTGAAACCATAAATTAAATGCAAAATACTTTGCTAAATTTTGAAACATTTCCCCCAATAAATTACATAATTAATTTATCTAGCATACTTTCCAGTTCTGCAGAGTCCAGTCTGGACTTCGTCAGCGATCCATAGTACGTTGTACTTGGTGCACAATTCCCGGACTTTGGTCAGGTACCCCTCGTCTGGGACCACAACACCGGCCTCTCCCTGAATGGGCTCCACCATGAAAGCACAACAATTAGGATCCTGTAGCTCTTTCTACAAGAAAAAGAAATCAACGGTCAAAGGGAAATAACTACGAGCAAATAATCAAAATTACTACAAGAAAATAAATCTATAGTCAAAGAGAGATAACTACACTTTACAAAGCGTAGCATTATTTTTTCCACAATATCCAAGGAACGTGGCAAAATATAGAAAGAAATATATTGAAAAGAAAAAGAATGGGTACACATTTCTGATTTTTGAATTTTATATGAAATAGCAAGCTTGAAAATTTATTTATCTTGTAAATTTATCATAAATATCTCTTCTTCCAAAAACATCTTTATCACTAAACTAACCAGAAGTTTCTGTCAAGACTGTAGCTCTACTGGTTTGTACTTATCAAAAACCTTGCACTATTTTATGAATCTTAGTGTAGTCTACTTGTGTGCCAACTTATTTTGAAATCAAACTAAAACTGAAATTCGTTTTTTTTGTAGAAAATTCTATTTTTAGTAACCATCTCTCCGTTCATCGAAATAAAAAACCGATTTTTATCATTTAGTGTAGTCTACTTGTGTGCAAAGTTATATTGAAATCAGACCAAAACTGTAGAAGGAGTTGCGTTTTAAAGGAATTTCACAGAAAATTCTATTTTCAGTAACCATGGCAACACCGTTTAACGAAATCAAAAACCGATGCACTATTCTATGTATCTTAGTGTAGTCTACTTGTGTGCAAAGTTATATTGAAATCAGAACAAAACTGTAGAAGGAGTAGTGTTTAAAAGGAATTTCACAGAAAATTCTATTTCTAGTAACCATGGCAACACCGTTCAACGAAATCAAAAACAGATGCACTATTCTATGTATCTTAGTGTAGTAAAATTGTGTGCCAAGTTATATTGAAATCCAAAACTGTAGAAGTTTTTTAAGGAATTTCACAGAAAATTCTATTTTTAATAACCATGGCAACACCGTTCATCGAAATCAAAAACCGATGCACTATACTATGTATCTTAGTGTAGTCTACTTGTGTGCCAAGTAATACTGAAATCAGACTAAAATTGTAGGAGGAGTAGCGTTTTGAAAAAATTGTTTACAGACAGACGGACAGACAGACAGACAAACAGACAGACGGACGGACGCTGGACGCATTATCGCATAAGCTCTTCTGGTCTCTGACCAGTAACACAATTATATATGCTTTCTCATTAATACATGTAGTATGCATTCTTTATCCTCATTCAAGTATAGAAAGACACAATCTATAACATAGTGTCAGGGATGTACAAATTTGATTGTTATAAAATTCATCATATCCATAACTTCACTGTGTACATGTATATAGTTATAAAATGTACATTTCTATGCTACCACTCATCCAAATGACAAATTATTTAGGCTGGATCATTTTACCCTCCTATCACAATTGCATAACCTTTTAATGCATCTATATCATGAAGCCTATTATATGCATAATATATTATATATTTCTGTCTACCTTTTTGAAAATACAGAGGACAAACAGATAAAGCGATAATTTACCAAAATTTTATTTAGAAATATTCAGAAATATCTATGCTCACCTCTAAAGCTGGAATATCATTATATGGCACAATTGTGTAGCCTGGCATGTAGGGTCCGTACCCCTCGTAACTTGAGGGGTCGGTAGAACTAGAAATGGCCGCTAAAGTTCGTCCCCAGAAGTTGTCCTCTGCAAACACTATCTTGGCCTTGTTCTTCGGGATTTTCTTTACATTGTAGGCCCATTTCCTGGCTAATTTATTGGCTGTTTCTCCCCCCTCCACACCTGAGAAGGGAATTTAGTCTTAGTTTATGATTACAAAGCATTCTAAGAGCATTACACAATAATGGTGCTTATGGGCCTATTCCATGGACATTTGGTACTAAATTTAAATTGAATAAATTGTTACAAGAAAAAACAATTATACCAAAGATGACCTCAAAACACAGATTTTTGTGTGTTACTCTAGAGCAAAAAAATTATGAAAACTGTGTAGAATCCTTTAACAAACAGACAGACAGATACATGTATATGGGAAACTAATATTCCCTTACAGACTACAGTTCACCACCAGGAGACTATAAAATCGTACTTGTACATGCATTCTCTTTAAAAATGCAAATACTTTCTTATTGGCTTGTATTGATTTCCCTTTACAGTAAATTGTACGGTATCATTTGCTTTTCAATAGTTTCTTGACTGCACAAGATTATACACTCAGAATGTTAAATGTGAATTCATTTATACACTAATTGACTAAATCTTCATGAATATTTTACATGTATAGAAAGAGAATAATTTCTTGAACTTTATATAAGTTCAAGATCTCTAAAACTCTTATAACATGACCTAGTTCTGTGGTGCTTTTGCCATTGCTTGGTCAGAGATATATTGAAGACACACAAAAATGTCCCTTTAAATATTTGGGGCATAATCCTTTGCATTTCATTTAAAAGTTCAACCTTTACAAAAATATTTTGAAAACTTATTTTAAATTTCCTTAAAACCTTAACAGGATAAAAAAAATATCAAAGTCCTGGTTTGCTGATGTATAAAAATTTTAAATTTTCATTCAGTGGTAAAAGTTAATTGAATCTTTTGCATCAAAGTCACAACTGTTCTGTTTATTTTGTCTTGTAGTGGCAAATAAAATTTGACTGGATTTTTTTTTCTCAGCTTTCAAGAATTTTTTTAGTACCATTATGTCCATAAATGGGCCCATATGTACTTCTATTATGTAAATAACTGAACTTTGATCTCTCCCATTATTAACACACATTTTTACCCCAAAACAGGCCCATTATCACAAATAGAACACCACTTTCCACTGCATGATAAAATTTTACCTGTATTCATGGGGAGCACCTTATCATAGCCAAAAAGTTTAGTGACATATTCCTCATACTCCCCCAGCACATTGTTGTAGAATGCTCTGGAGGTCAAGGCCAAGGTCGATGCCTGGTCGGTTAGAGCCTTGATGATCTTTGGGTGCGAGTGTCCTTGGTTTACAGCACTGTAAGCACTAAGAAAATCGTAGTATCGATTGCCATCAACATCCCACATGTATACACCTGTAATTAAGAAAACCGTCATTTGTTATCTCCGAAATCTACATTGTAAATCTTTTTTAAAGGCTTACTTGATTAATTGGGAAAAATATTATAAGGAGACATTCTTGAGACTTAATGAGATTATTATAATTATGTCTTCTTTAGTCAGTGCTACAGGTTACACATATGTGCACCTCTCATTTATTAACAATGGTTTTTAAGGAATAAAAAATATACATCTTTTAAAAGTATGGTTTTATTTTATAATTACCTTCTCCTTTGCAGATGGCGACAGGGAGGGGGTGGTAGTTGTGGGCCCCGTATTTATCCTCTCGATCAAACACGGCCTGGGATTTGGCTGTGATGTTAGCGACACTACGGACCTGCTGTTGTAGACCAGTTACCTTATGACAGACATTTCCAGCGGCTAACACCTGTCTCTGCAATTTGCTGAACATCTTTATTCTGAAATGTAAAATTTTTTCTAACTTAAATTTTAATGGTGTCATGATTTTGTAATAAATCATTATCAATTGAGGAATTTTTTAAAGCTATATAATAAAAGGAGTTATTGAACTAAATTGGTAAATATATTGGCAATCTCATGCATTTGTACAGCCAACTTGTTCCGATATTCACCAACCGTATAATTTAAATAGCAGTATCAGTGCCACTGAAAAAAAAAACCTAAATCATCAGGTCAAAGACCCGTGAACAGGAGGTGTGTCAAAATTGAAAGATCTCATTGGTGGACAATAAAAACAAGGTCCCTATCTTTTCTAAATTATTATTTATTTCTTGAAAAATGAAAAAAAAAATATAATGAATTATTAATCCATTTTTTTTATGTTGTGCCCCTTCCCAAATATACTAATTTAAAGCAGGTGTGTGCCGTGTGGATTTAATGCATGCAAAAACAATAGAATGTTTAAACCTTGACCTCATTTTCCACACGTGGCCCACGATGACATTAAATGTTTTAGCTACTTTTTTGTGGATTTTTAATAAAATGGTTTTGTTTTGCAAAATACTGTTCATTCCAACTAAAAAGGAGAGAAAGGATTGAAGCTCTAAACCCCCTCAAGTTCAACATGACAATGAAAACATTATCCAGTTCCAGCTGGAAATAACACAGTTTTGCGCTTGTATCGATCACACAAATTTCTATCGAAATGAAAGAATTTGCATCACGCGAATGATAAAGAAAGAAAGGGACACTGTTATTTTTAAAGGCAAGAAATCATGAACCAATTCCACAAATTATATATATAGGCCCTAATTAATATAGATTTGCAGCTGACTCGACACCGTACAGTAGCCTAGGCCTATTTTACAATGTAATTTTCCCCTTGACTTGACCCAATAAAACCTATTCGAATAATATTTCACATTTCAATTAAAATTAAAATAAATTCTTATTTTAGAAACTAATGAAAAGAACTTTATTCCTTACCTTTCGAGCTCCTTTCTCACTCAGTCAGCCGAGTCACCAAATGTGAACGCTAAGATATGGAATGTACGGAATCGCAATGGATATTTAGTGACCGAAGGCGGAGCGAAAAGCGCGTATCTATTCAAGCGGTGTGAACAAGAATTAGTTGTTTCCCTTCTTAAAAATGGACATGATTCAGTTCTATCTGGTTTTCAATGTAAAATTTAATTTCGATTTACTCGATCTAAACTAGAAAAATCCGGTTTGGTAGAACAATGGCTCTTCCATTAAATTAACGTACAGCTCATTCACCGATTGCCCTGTAAACAATTTTAAATACACAGGCCTATACGGATATAATTAATAAATACTTGTGAATTTTTCTATAATGGTTGCAACAGTTAACCCCTGAAATATTTACATCCACTGAATCAGAGATGGGGTCAATTACTTTCAAAAGTAATTAATTTACTATGTCTTTTTCTTCTAGTTTAAAAATAACATGTTTCACATTTAGATATTTTTCTGCATATATATACAGGGTTAAATATGAGAACAATTTTTAAAACCAGGTAAGATATTGGCAAACAAGTTGCTGAAACAAGAATATAAGCAGTCATCATTTCGGTAGTTCTATGCCGGCTCGATACAATAACCTTATCAGCAAATACAATTTATCATTGAGTCAAATGTTGACTGGCGTTTTTCATATTTTAAAATAGTTCGGCCATTGCTTTAGGAACTGAATAGTCGACGGATTTTCCCGTTATATTTCCCGATCATGACATGGACCACACTATGGGTGTTACGGATTGGCAAGGGATGCTCACTCTTCCATGGTACCTGATCCCATCTCTGCTGTTTGTTTTGGTCTAATTTGTAATGTTTAATGGACTTTTCAGCTTGAACACTGTTCGTTATTCTCCATAGAGTTCCTGTATAAGATGTGTTAAAAAATGAATTGAAATTACCCAATGAAAAAAAAAGTGAATTAAATAACGAATTACTTTTATTTTTTTGCATATTTTTAGAATTTTGTCAATTAATATACAGAAGCTGAGCCCGAGCCTCTGTACAACTAATTTTTTAATTTACAAAGAGACTGAATATTATCTTTAATTAATTATATTTCTTTCGTAATGAAAACAACATGATCTTCGCTAGCCAAGGGTTTCCGATCCGAAATCTACTCTACTACAAGAATAGATTTCGGATCGGAAACCCTTGGCTAGCGAAGATGTGAAAACAATTAATTATAATTTCTCGCGTTACGATGGTATAGCTGTTCTAACAATATGTAAACGAATTATTATTCTTGAGCGGAAGTTGCGTAAATGTGTATGTAGTAATATTGTATCCTTGGTAGCAGCCAATGAAATGAGGTTTTGGGGAATGAAGTGTTTGAATAGTTTTCTCACGATAGTAGAGTTCAGTTTCTAGCGCACGCTCTACCTGAGCAGGTCAACTAAGATTAAATATATTTTGTTTTCAAAATTTTACATATTGGTAACTTGCATAGGTTTGTAAGAATGAGTCCGCCATTCATTTTGTTTACCTCGCAATTGCTGCGGAATTACAGGTTTCCATAGCTTTTTTAAATAAATTTTTTATGCCCCCTTCGAAGAAGGGAGGGCATATTGCTTTGCTGCTGTCTGTCGGTCTGTCGGTCTGTTGGTCGGTCGGTCGTCTGTCGGTCCGATTTATGTCTATGGTCGGTCCACTTGGTTTCCGTTCATTTTCTTCACAACCGTTGCACATACTGAAATGAAATTTGGTATTCAGATATATCAGATAAATATCTAGGTCAAATTCTGTTTTGTGTACGATCGTGCCATTTTGGACAGAGTTATGCAACTTGGACTTAGAAAAATTCCAATTATTTGTAGTTTCCGTTCATATTTTTTGCAGAGGTCACACTTACTGAAATGAAATTTAGTATGCAGATTTATCAGATGAATATCTAGGTGAAGTTCTGTTTTGGGTACGATCGCGCCATTTTTGACAGAGTTATGCCCTTTGGACCTAGAAAAATGTCATTTATTTGCAGTTTCCGTTCATTTTCTTTGCAGAGGATGCACATATACCGAAATGAAATTTAGTGCATAGATTTATCAGATGAATATCTAGGTCAATTAAGTTCAGTTTTGGGTACAATTTTTCCATTTTTGACAGAGTTATAGCGAGCGCAGCGAGCGTCGCGAAGCGAGCTCAATAGACTAACGTGTACGAACAGAGGAAATTCGGATTGAAATCTGTACATACCTCAGCCAAATTTCTCTGTGCAACATTCCATAGCAACATGGTGGCTAAAACATAGCAACAACTTACTTGAAAGGTACGATTTAATGCAATCTCTTTTCCATAAAACTAGCGTTTGAATTCCTGCACTACCCAATGTCCTTTGCGCGAATAAATCAAAAATAGTCAAAAAAATTAAAGGAACATTGTTTCTTACCGAAATCTTAACGAAATGATTTTGCCTTACCTTATTCAAAAAAATACCCCCATGCCACAACACCGGCATTCACCTTGCCCTTCGGAAATGATACAAATGACGTCACCGGAAACTTACGAATTTTGACGAAGTTATGTCGGTTGCTTCCGTGAAACTCGGAAAACATGTTGCGGTGCATAGCAACATGGTGGCTAAAACATAGCATCAACTTACTTGAAAGGTACGATTTAATGCAATCTCTTTTCCATAAAACTAGCGTTTGCGTCCTAAGTCAACAGAACTTTTTATCTGACGTCATACTTTCGTCACTTCAACGGTTCGGGTATTTCCGATTTTGTCGGAAACTTCCGATGCTTGGGAAATGATTTCTTTTAATTGTTTTGTTTTATTCTTTTTGCTTTCTTTTTCTTGAATGATAGACAGTACATGTGTAGGTTTATGATAGTAAATAGGTTAAAGGTTTTTGAGCAGGTCCATTCCTAAGTAACTATAAGGCCTATCCGGACCAAACTTGCATAGATGATGCATTTAGGAATGGACACTGTATACCAGACTTTCTTCGCATGCTGGATTTGACCTACATTTTCCAGATGAGTGGCCAGGATAATATTATTGGAGTAACTCTGTAATTTTATGGCCTGTATGATTTAACTTGCATGGATGGTGCATGTAAGGATGGAAAATTCCAGACTTGCTTCAGATGTTGGAAACGAAAGACATTTTCTTCATTATTGAACAGGTTAAAGATTTTGGAACAGCTTAATTCCAAATGAACTATAAGACCTACTTAAACAGAACTTGCAGGAATATTTTTGTCAGGATGCATACTAACTATAAAGAAAATATGATGCGAGGTTTGCATTACAGAACTGATAACATTCGTCGAGGTGAGTTTCGTAATCATTGATTACCTATGTTTTTCTTAATGATAAGACAATTTCCAATAAATTTTGCCTCGCAAAGAATGATGAAATATGCAACAGTTCATTTGAATTTGAAAGTTTATAGTTTAAATTATTTTAAATAAGACTCAAAATTATTATTATTAATTTATGGTATTAATAATTAAATTATTTAAAGTAAATACAAAGCATTAGTTGATCTCCCCAATATATTAAATTGCATTTAGAATATCCAAATAAAGAATCCAGTATCGAAAAAATAACAATGAGCAAAAAGTGGCCAAAAAAAAAACAACTGCCATGACAGCCAAAAAACCCCTCCAAAACTGCCAAAATGAAAAAAAGCATGACTATTAAAAGCAACATTGCAAAGAAAATATAACATTTAACAGAGATGGAATCATAACCGGGGTGGTTTGTGGGCAAGTATATCGCTGCATAAGGGAAGTTGTCTATTGAAAAGTTTGTATTCACGTTTATCGTAAAGCTTGGTTATTAAAATACCATTTATCATTTAAGGAAGCTCTAAACACTAACAGAAACTGTTTTTTGGACCCAGAGAAAAATATATCATATAAAGATATGCATATTGAGACTTTTTCAGTCATTTAGAACATAGGGTACGTGCCTTATTTGCGCAGGAAAATGTTCAAAGACAATGGACTATTTGTGAGCACAAATCACTGTTATTTACTTACATTGGGAAAATTAATGAATATAATTAATTAAATTTCTTACTCTTGGTCTTATATAATGCTAAAAATATTTTAATGTATTATAAATTATGTAATTAAAGGTAAATTAAAATTTCTTTAATCTTATATCTAAGGGCAGATCACTCTAACTGCATAAAGCTACCCAAGAAATAGAGCTCTTTAGTGTGCAGTGTTTAGAGCGTCCTCAATGTCTTTTCTAGTAAAATATACAAATATGAAACAGATACATGTATGTCAGGCTATGTGATATATTTTTTCAAGCTCACCGGGATATATCGTATCGACACAAGAATTGAAATGTAATATAACCAGTGTAAAATCTTCTGTAAAATAGTTTCACTGCTTACAAAATTACAAAATTTCTTCTATATTTTTTATAATAGCTACTTATGTTAAAGATAGGAGTCGATACTATTCCATGCAATGGGGGTGGGGGTGGGGCAAAGTGTGGGGGGTCTGTTTACATTCTTTCCCAATACCCATTATATATCATACCTATCACTGAGTCATATTTTAGCCGACAAGTTTCATATTAGTTATGACATTGGTTTTAAACCGAATTTTGACTACGGAATGATCCGCCTACGAGACAAATACACAGAATCATGGCGGGTGTGACGGGTAAAACAGGGGATGATTACTTCTCCTAGGTTCCTGATCCCACCATTTCAATTTCTAGGGGTCCATGTTTCATGCCCTGTTAATAGATTTGATTTGTTCATAGTTCTTTTCAGACAGATCACCTTTTCACCTTTTGCATGCATAATAATTTTCACTATTTATGCTTGGAACATTTGTCAGTAAAAGGACATAATATAGACTCAGTCACGTACCATATAACAGATGTCGATTGTCCCATTATGTTTGTTGAAGTGGCCATATGAGTCACTTCCAGAAATCCTTCTATAGATATTTTTTTTTAAAATTTTGTTTCCAGATAAATAATGTTTTCAAAACAATTAATTAAGCAGCTATTAATATTGATATTCAAGAGTGCAGACATAATAGTATCGATATTCTTCTGAATGCATATTTCATTCCTGTCATTTTAGATATGTGAGGTCGATATTTGTTGGTTATGCAAGAATATTACTTAGCTTTTGGGTATCGATTATTCGACAAATTCCCATAATTTTCAATGGATGTTAAGAAAAGTATTATCTAGAAAAATATATGTTCATTATATGTTGTAAGAAGTCGTAAGTACAGATTTGCACACTTTCTGCTAATAAATTTTAAATTTTTATCTGTTTGAGTGTAAAAAGATACCATTTCCTCTCAAACTACCTACCAGTGCCCAAACTCTCTGACTAGTCAGTTAAGAACCCTTTCCGTCGCAGTTGGGACGTTATACTGCACTGTGGAAAATTAATAGAATTTACAAATGTAAGTAGCTAGCTAAAATTTACATGAAGCACCAATGACTACATGTATTTCAATCATGAAGAAATAAGAGAAACTTTTAATGCATTGAGCCAATTTGAAATCAAAGTTTCCCTTCTTCAAAAAAGTCTTTTTTCATGCGTAACTGTAAAAAAATATTATAGATTTGGTCAAAAACCACAGACATGTACTTTTGTATTCTTTAATCATTCCTAGAAAATCAAATAAATCGACGATACATGTTGAAAAAGTATAGAAAATCATATAATAAATTTTTAATATCAGCGAGCATTTATTTTGGTTTCTATCTCAAAAAATAAGTAAAATTATATAAACCTGCTAATAGATGGTTGTTGCACGCTGATGTACGGGGTTTTTGGTAGAAATACTACATATGAGACCAACGCCCTTAAAATATGAAGACCAAATTCTATTTCCATTTATTAAACCCAATATTTTAACTGGTAAACATTCTATAATTTATTATAAATCAAGAATGACTTCATCTGACACTTTGTCAGAAGGGATTAAATGTATCAGATCTATGTTACTTACAGTCACGTATTAAAAGATTGAGGGACAATATGAAAACCATCTATCCTACTGTATTCAATAATCCAGAAGTAAAAAAAAAAGAATTAGATAAATTAAACGGGTAACAATGTTTTCTTCGTTTGTAAGGCTCATCATATAAATCTTATTTTAGAAGAACTTGGATTTAATTCTACAAGTGGTAAGCCAACTTAACTCATACTTCCCTTTCTAAGGAAGAAATTCTTCAAAATCATATGTCAGTTTTGAATATTTTTAATATCCCACAGAACCAAAATGTATTTGGACTACCTTATATACTTTGGATCCCAAAACTTCATAAAAATGCTAGCACACAAAGATACATAGCGGGTTCCAGTAAACGTTCAACCAAGCCTCTTTCTTTACTCCTCACTTAGATATTAACAGTAGTAAGGGAGAAATTTAAAGAGTACTGTGCAAGAATATATTCCAGATATATTCCAGGAGGGTGTTAATCAGATGTGGATACTTAAAAATTCCAATGGACTTCTGGAATTCCAAAATTTGAAATCATATGATTTTACCAAACAGCTTAAAAACTTACGACCTGACAACTTCATACATGACTATTGCACTAAATTTTAAGTCCAGGCTTTTTGATATCATTGACGACCCCTTTTTCAATATAAAAAAAAACTCAAAAGAAAGGAATTAGAAAAAGTTACTTACCTTGTCTTTGGTCATTTGAAAAAAATATTCAGTTAAAAAAATTCTGATTGTACACACAAGAACTCCAAGGTGGACATAAAAAACATGCTTGAGTTTCTGATTGACAGTTTCAATGTGGTTTTTTGAGACAAGGTCTTCCAACAACCTATGTGAACTCCTATGGATACCAATTTTTCCCCGTTATTAGAAGACCTTTTTTGTATTCATATGAAGCAAAATTTGTCCAAAATCTTATACATGAAAGGAAAAAAAAATTGCTTTGACCTTCAACTCGACATTTAGATATATCAACGACGTATTGTCAATTAATAATGGTTATTTCCATTCTTTTGTCGACACGATATATCCTGGTGAGTTTGAGATAAAAGATGTACCACAGAGTCTGATACATCTGTTTCAAATTAGGATATTTTACTTGAAAAAGATGTTAATGGTAATCTAACGACCAAGCTCTATGATAAACGTGATAACTTTAACTTTTCAATCGTCAACTTCCCTTACTTATGCGGCAGTATACCTTTATACCTGCATATGTAATTTATATATTTCAGTTGATTCGATACGCAGCAGCATGCTTTACGTATGTACAATTTCTAAAACGAGGTAAATTATTGACAAATACTTCAATTTAAAATACAATTTATAAATTGAGTCAAATGCTGACTGACTTTTTTCAACTAATTTGCTAGTCAGTTTATACATGTATATTTCAGTTGATTCGATACGCAGGAGCATGCTTTACGTATGTACACTTTCTAAAACGAGGTAAATTATTGACCAAGACTACAATTTAAAATACAATTTATAAATTGAGTCAAATGCTGACTGACTTTTTTCAACTAATTGCTAGTCCATTGTTTACACACAAAATTTCCCGATCATTACAAAGATCACAAGGCGGGTGTGACCGATAGGCAGGGGATACTCACTCCTCTATGGCACCTGATCCCACCTCTGATTATGATGTATGTACAATTTCTAAAACGAGGTAAATTATTGACCAAGACTACAATTTAAAATACAATTTATAAATTGAGTCAAATGCTGACTGACGTTTTTCAACTAAATTGCTAGTCCATTGTTTACACACAAAATTGACTACGGATTTTCCCGTTATTTCCTGATCATTACAAAGATCACAAGGCGGGTGTGACCGATAGGCAGAGGATACTCACTTCTCTATGGCACCTGATCCCACCTCTGATTGTGATGTTTTGGAGGTCCATGTTTGCTCTGCTCCTTTTTTGTATTGTTTTATGGAATTTTGTGCTTGAATACTGTTCGATATCTCCATATATTTCATAACTACAACCGAATTTCCACACGGTTTGAATATATGATATATTCTTTGTAAAATATTGTCAAGGACATCTGGATAAAGCATATTTTTTCACTCATGGAGAAATGAACACAAAATGCACATACTGTAAGCTTCTCTTGTGTACCTCTTGCAGTTTTGAAATCTGTAGCCCTAAAAAAAATGCTTTTTCTTCTTTTGTCCATTTTCCCAATCTGGTAACATATTGCATGTGAAACCCTTTTGAAAAGGTTTTTTTATACGTTGGAGTTTGATTAGAAAACGTTGTAAAACAATTCTTCTTTTGTAAGATTCCTATCTTAATAATTCAATTGTTTCACATTATGCACAACAAGTTCAAAATCCTGGTTGAGGTGATTAACAGATACACCCTTAGGTACCTATTATTTCTGAGAGTACCTTATACGTTACATGTAGTTTTACTGGATATATACATTAAAAATACAAGATTTTGAAACATTTGAGTTGTTGTCTTGACGTGTGTCAATTTTTCTATTTATATAGATGAATATCAACAAAACACATTGCAACGATTCAAGCCAGATGTCTTTTTTTCATCTTTAGCTGTTATGTCCAGGTTGGTTATAGTGTTTCTATTGATACAACCATGAATCATTAGTATACTAAAACACTAGACATAAAATGGTTGTTAAAAGTTGCTTTCTGCTTTCAAATTTTTATATGTAGTATGACATGCACAAAAAGAAACCAATCTTAGAAAGAGCCACTTTATTTTGTTTTAATAAATTACTACGCGTTTATAATTAAATCATGGCGGGTGCAATTTTATTTCCTGATGAAGGAAATTGATTTTTTTTTCAACCCAAGACTGAATACATTCTTGATAATTAGTCGACAACAAGCGTGTCCCGATTCCAACTCTCCGAATGTTAACAAATATTCGTATTGATAATTGCATGAGCACTTTCAGTGACATATGGCATGAGTTATTTGTTTTACAAATACATAGAGTTAGAAATTATACAGTATGTTTCTGTAAACAATTATTGAAGCACATTTCATCTGGTCATACTAATCATAGCTATTTAACATAATTAAAAATTGTATAATAGATTGATTCGACGTTTTAATGTAATAATAATTACAACTCATTAATTTATAACAGGAATGTAGATTTTAATACTAGTATTGAAAATATCCAAAGTAATTGTCAGAATATCCCACGGTAAATGTTCATATGTGACAGTATAATAAAAGTCAAAATTTTCTCATGTACAAACACCCTGTACTCACTGTATATCGCATAATATATACTTAAATCCTCTACTTGTAACAGGAATAGAATAAATACATTGTACATGTATACAGAAATCAATCCCACTTAAATTAAGTAGTCACAAATATGTCATATACTTGGACCGAGAAACACTTATAATCCATGATACATGTAAATACGTGAATGCAGGTGCAGCCCTATATAAGAGTGTAGTATTATTTCTCGAAGAAAAATAAGGAATTCTTATTTAAGTGACTTTGTATGCCATTTAGCAAAGGGCATTAACATCTGGGTAATTTTATTTTTATTGTTTTATGCTGTAGTTTGTAATGGTTAGGAGCCTTTCGGAACTTCTCGATATTTTTACTACGTGTGCATATACTTTCTGTTTTTTGAATAATATCTTTTGTGCATGTTGAATAGTGAACATGATATGGAAATATTCTACAGTAAGTAAAAACTGAGAAAACAACAATTAATAAGAGGTAAGGGTTTGGCAATCTTGATAGTTTTTTTAATCTGAAAAGAGTTTTTACTATGTGCATCAAACATTCACGCTTTTCAGCTTTAAACATGTATCAAAAGTTCACTGGATAAAAACGTATATATCGTCTCTATCCAAGCGGAGAGGCGCATTAATAACTTGTGAAAATAAATAGGACTGAAGAGGACAAAAGCCAAGACTTAAATAAGTACTATAAATGAATGAAATGCATCTTTTGGAACATTTTGACCAACACTATATATAGTGTCACTATAGCTAGTTCTAACAATCAATAATTCAAACTATAGACTATCGTGTATTTGTTAAACATATCCATTTTACAGGGCATGAAGGTCAATTTTGCGACCTTCCCAAGACCCATACAATGAAAACTCCAACTGTGCTTCTAGCAGCCTTCATTAATAACTTTCTGGGAAGTAGTTTGGGGTATTCGGCGGGAATCATTCATTTTGGACTGGTTGAAAAATTCCCAGAATCTGTTTCAGAAGTGACCCTGGCAGGTGCTCTGTTCACTAGTGTTTTCTGCTTAGCTGGTGAGAAATTTAACTTACCTCCACCTGATTATTCGTAATAGTGCACCGCCTAACTGATTCAAGTATACTAAGCAATTCATTGATATTCATTATAATGAATCTTGAAGTTAGATTGTCTTGAGACAAATTCAAATTTAAGTGCTTAAGATCTATAAAACCTACATCAACATAACTGTTTGCTTCTAATTCCAGCGTGGATAGGAATACATGTATATAAAAATGATTCATGATCTGCCTTACATATTTCAGGTCCTATATCCACCTCTGTGATCAATACATTATCCTGTAGGACTGCTTTGTTCATTGGAGCATTCCTAAACTTTGCTGGCTTCCTTGTGTCAAGTTTTTCACCAAGCATAGAACTTGTTGTAGTCTGTTATGGGATTATTGCAGGTATGTTAAACATAATCAAGAAATATTAGTCAAAATAAAACATTGTTGTAGGCACAAGGGCTTCTATGGTTGCTTTGAAGAGACAATTTCTAACCATTTCTTGAACTCCACATTACTCCATGGAAAGTTATGTTAACTTTTGCAAAACTAATATCTTGTCTTTTAGGAATCGGTCAATCCATGATGTATTCTGCCAGTGTCCTAGTCGTAGGATACTACTTTCATAAAAACGTCAGTGTAGCTACGGGAGTAGTGGTGTCAGGGACAGGCTTGGGTGTAACAGTGTTCCCATTGTTTACCGAGTTCCTCCTAAGGACATACGGAATTGATGGAACCTTTCTCCTTCTCGCAGCAATCAGTCTCCAGACTTGTGTTTTTACTATGTGCATAGGAATTCATGATATAGAAAGGGAAAGAAAAAGACCTCAAAAGTTCTCAGAGAGATTGAAAATAGTAGTACATGACGTTAGGAAGCTTTCTTCTAATGGTGCCTTCTGTCTTCTGTGTAGCAGTATTTTATGTTGGAGTACAAGTTTGAATACATCTGTGCTTTTTCTGCCAGACTATTATAAAAGAACAGGTTCTTCAGAGCTAGAAGCTGCCTCGTTAATGTCTATTTATGGAATATTCAACTATTTTTCAAGAGTTATCATTGGTTTTGCAGCATCAGATAAAGAAATAGACGGGAAAATATTGTATATGGGATCATACTTCATACTGTCCTTGTGTACAGCATTCCTGCCTATGGTTGGGACCTCTTATGCAGGGAAGATTTTCTATTCGATAGTGCTTGGGTTGTATTCCAGCGGAGTTTGGTCGCTCTTGACGACTATAACAGTTGAAATTATTGGTATCAAACAAACATCAACAGCATTTGGTATTGAAATGTTGACGAGCGGAATAGGTTTCCTATCAGGACCGGTCATTGGAGGTATGCTGTATTCTGGTTTTTCAATCTTATTTGACATTTAAATACATGTATATATGAATTGATTGAAATTATTGTCCATTTTTTACAGATAATATAAAAGAATTTAGTGGAGGGTATTCTGTTGTATTTGGAATCTCTGGTAGGTTCCTTCCAGTTTTTAATGTTATGGCATTATATCCTCTGATGTGGTATTAACTATGTATATCATAATGTTTCATATTTCATTTTGGTTTGAAATTTGTATTTCTAGAATAAAAAATTCTTTTTACGACTAATAGAGTTTCCTTGGACAAAGAACGCTATAAATCTTTGCTCTGAGAGGGAATAATAAATATATAATGTGTCTTTTTTGTGTGTGCAAATGTCCTTTCCTAACTTTTTAAAAATATGTTTAACTGAATAATTGCCTGTGTTATCAAAATATAGAACTCAATTAGAAATCAATTCAAATGATTGCTTTCGATCTTTTTTTTTTAATTTAAATATTTGCCCATGTAAAAAAAAAATTGCTTTCAAATTCTATATAAATACACAAAATTAAAAAAAAAATTAGATTAAAAATAACTTTTTTCATTAGGATTTTTGTACATGATGGCTGCCGTGTTTGAAGTTTTGATGATTTTGACAATGAGAAAATCAAGCGTTCCTCAGATGAATGAAGATCAGAGAAGAAGTACTGAAAATGAGAATAGAATGATAGAGGATGGAAATGAAGAATCAGTCGAAGATGACGAAAGAACCATAGACATCGAAGAAAGACAAAGACTAAAATGAAATATTTGTACTAGCATTGCGGGTTCCAAATTAAGTATCAGTGATTAAAAAAATTTGATGTCTGGATTGGTATATATATTTATGCCCCTGGATCGAAAGATCCCAGGAGGAATATTGCTTTTGTCTTGTTTGTCTATCTGTTTTTCTGTAAACCTAGCCCATAACTATAGCGCTGCCAAGGATAAGGCTTTAATATTTGACATGAGTGTTCATTATGACAAGATCTTTCCATTGGTACAGATGGGTGTCTGGATTGGTATATATATTTTTGCCCAGCATCGAAAGATTTCGTGGGAATAATGTTTTTGTTCTGTCTGTCTGTTATTCTGTCCTTCTGCCAGTAGTTAACTTTAACATAGCCCGTACCTATTGTGCTGTAAAGGGTAAGACTTTAATACTGTAAACGTATTACATTTGGCTGTGTATTTTTTAGCGGCTTTGGCGGAACGCAGCAACTGCTAAATCAAGTACAAAGCTAAATGTCTTGTACATATACACATAAATAATAATTTGAAGAAATGCACTAAATCAAATCTACGCTAACTTATTCAAAAATCTTTTTCCGCCAAATATCGTACACGCTAAATATAATACATTTACAGTAGATGCCATGAGTGTTCATTATAACAAGACCTTTCCATTGGTACAGATGGATGTCTGGATTGGTATATACGAGTTTATATTAAACGTATATTTATGCCCTGAATCGAAAGATCCCGGGGGAATATTGTTTTTGTCCTGCCTGTCTGTTTCTATATCTTTCTGTCTGATGTTAAATTTAACCTAGCCCATACCTGTGACTTTTACATTGGTACAGAAATTTTTTATTATATGGCATAACCTGTGACCTTTGACCTACATTTGAAACCCTTAGAAATCTAACAAGAGTATTCCAATTCAGTCTACGTTTAACTCCAGAATTATGTTACCATCGGGGGCATAGTTTTTCACATACACATCTTCTTTTCGACCTATTCCTGTTGTAAATGATGCAAGTAATACCGTATAAGTGGAAATTTAAACAAGACGCAAATTGCGCGATTTCTCCTTAAGAATTGGTATTCCGTTTTGAGCGAGATGTAATGTTAGCTATTTTAAAATGATCCATAAAAATTTGCTTAAAATTCAACTTATACGGTAATTGTTTAAGATATAAAAAAAAATATTTACCTTTTCTGATGTTAAAATTGTACCTTTCACCAAACATCCTTCATAATGTATATAAATTTTTATCAATTAAAATCCCATTTCTTAAACTTTGAATAAAAAAACTCAAACTACACCTTTAACCGTTTTATTTAAATTTACAAAAACGTGATTCGAGCTGTTATTTTTAAAATTGTTGACAAAATTTTGTTCGTATCACCTGACCTTAATTGTGAAAATCTATGCTAAATGCCTGTATTCATTCTGAAAATGTACTTAATATATATAATTGTGTAAGAAATAAAGAAGTTGAAATATCATTACACTGAATTGAATTATTGAAATATTTATTTCAAGTTTTGTCTTCTGGTTGTTCCATTATTTCCCGATCATGACAAGAAGCACACGGAGGGTGTGATCGGTCGGCAGGGGATGCTCACTCCTCCATGACACCTGATACCTCCACTAATGTTTTGGAGGTCCGTGTTTGCTCCGCTCCTACTTTGTATTGTTTTATGGACTTTGAGCTTGAATACCATTTATCTCCATATATTTCATTGTAATAATTCAACGAACTTAAAGGAACAAAACTTAAGAAATATAACCTATTATTTGATGGTATATTTTGACTGACATATTTCATTTCATACCAATTGTTAGGTCGATCTTTATTCGTATACTAAATTTAACTTCTGTATGCCTGATCAAAACTTAGGGCTTACAGCTGGTAAGCGTGACCGGCCGATATGGGATGCTGTGATGAATATGACGTTAGAATGGTTTCTTAGCTACGGCGTTATTATACCCCCGTTTGAAAAGCGGCAGTATAAATAGTGATCGGGATGTCCGTCCGTCTGTAAGTCCGTCTGTTGCGCTTTGGGGTACACATCTCTTATCCGTGAATCCTCTTTTACCACTGAATGAAATTTAATGAGACTTTTACATAATTTTACATAATCCTTGGTATATAATTCCATTCTGCACTTCTTTTTTTTACTTTTTGATCGGGTACATATTTTGGAGTTACTAGAACAAAACATGAGCGCGGCCATTTGTTCTAATATGAAAGGGTACCCATCTCTTATCGGCAACTCCTCGTATACAACTGAATAAAATTTAACGATACTTTCACAGACTGTTTATTACATAATGTCATTGTGCACCTCATGTTTTACTTTTTGATCTGATACATTTCGGGTCTCCCATTGCAAAATATGGACCTTTACATTGTAACAATATGGGAGGCAGGGTATCATTTAGTGAGCTTTTTGCTCACAGTACCTCTAGTTTATAATAAATTGTCTATCTTAGCACAGATCTTAAGTATCTTTATAAACCCCACCCTGATCCAAACTATGTTCGGGGATTTGTATTTTATGACTAGTTTTGTATAATCTGTACAATGTAGGTATTTTTTTAAAAAATCAAACACTGTTCGTTTTCTCCACTTTTTTTCCTGTATCGAAGTACCAAACAGGATATCCATACTGTTGAAAATGACATTGGATAAATTTTTGTTTTCAAAATGATATATATGGATTGTCTTTCTTTCCTCACTTAACAACTCTCTATGAAATATAAAGAGTGAAAAATATGGAGAACAGTATCCAAAATCAAAAGTCCATTTAAAATATAAGATAGGAGCAGAGCAAACACAGACCACCAAAACATCAGAGGTGGGATTGTCATTGAGGAGTGTGCATCCCCTGCCGACCAGTCACACCTACCCTGCGCTCTTTGTCAAGTATTGCGAAATAATGAAAAAATCCGTCGACAATTTTGTAGTATAATGGCCTTACAATTAGACTGAAAAACGTCAGTCAGCATATGACTTAATGATGAAATATGTTTGGTGACAAGGTCATTATATCGACCATATTGAACTTACGAAATGATGACTTTCAATGAGACTGCTGACATATTTAACCTGCTTCAGCAACATGTTAGTCAGTAATTTACCTTGTCTTAAAAAATGTTCATTCTGCATATCGAATCAACTAAGAGATATAACCCCGTATGTAGGTGATGAAGGTATATTGCTGCATTAGTAGGGGAAGTTGACAGATGAATAAATTAAGTCATCTTTTAACTGTCGTAAAGCCTGGTTGTTAGATTACTATTAACTTCTTTTTCAAGTAAAATGTTTGAATATGAAACAGATTTGTTAGACCCAGTGGTATCTTTTATTTCGAAATCCACTATACTTGTATATGTTAATTCAAAATTCATTTTGGTTGTTAACATACAGAATTCAAGCTAAAACGCCAATTAAACAATGTAAATGTTGTAGTATAGAAAACAGACCTTTAAAACATCAGAGGTGAGATCAGGTGCCATTGAGGAGAGAGCATCCCCCTCCGACCAGTCACAACCACGGCGTGCTCCTTGTCATGATTAGAAAATAACGGATTTTTTAATCCGTCGACATACAATGTGTAGATGATGGTCTAAGAATTAATGTGATGAGTTTGCATTTGCTGACAAGGTCATTATATCAACCCTAGAACTTACAGATTGATGGTTTTACAAAGATTTAGGGATTTATCTTATCGACACAAGAATGGACATAGCCATCGTCAAGTTTTAAAGGTCTGTTTCCTCTACTACAACATATATATTGTCGTTTTAGCTTGAATTCTGTATGTTAACAACCAAAATGAATTTGAATTCGATAATATATCTAAATTTCGAGTTTATAAGGCCACAACAATCTTCTTTTGCTAGATTTGCATTTACGAATTCATTGAAAAAACAGTTGTTAATATATTTTATCAAAAAAGCCTGAACTTTAATCTTTCGTGTGGAATGGTTGTTATAAAGAGATGAAAAGTTTTTTGTTGATTTTGATAAGATTTTGCGATTTCAAATTTTCCAAAAAGTTCCTTGGAATTTTGGAGCATCCACGTATTATTAACACCACTTCTCGAATATATAGTTGTTTAAGTCTTTTGAAGTTTCTCCTTCAGTACTGTCAATAATTAAGTTAGGAGTAATTTAGCCTCGTCGATTATTTTCCGAAACTCGCTATATACATTCGTTTGTAAGGGGTTTTATGAAGTTTTAAAATCCAATATAAATAAGGTAAATAAATTCAAATCCGTTTTGGTTGTTGGGAATACTAAAAATATTCAAAATTAGAATATGCTTTTGAAGAATTTTCTCCTCAGAAAAGGAGCTATGGGTATAATTAAGTTGGATTACCACTTGATGAATTCAATCCCAGTTCCTTTAAAATATAATTAAAGAATGAGCCTTAAAACAGAGACAATGTTGTTATCTGCTTTGTCAGCAGGGACCAGTACATACTGATCGCGTGATCGATCTTATTCTTTTTCTTTTCTGAATTTTTGAACACAGAAGGAAACTTGATTTACATGCATGTGCAGTTTTAAAGGGGTATTCAATGAATTAGTACAAAGTCATAAAAAGAATTTCTTTCTTTTTATTTCCATGTTTTTTTTTACACTGAACCGAAAGTTTATTCTTTACTTTTCTCAAAAGCGTATTTCAGCGACTATTATTCAAACAGCTAGAACAGAAATACATCACAAGGACTAAAATTACGCAAGAGGGAGGGGGGGGGGGTTAAGGGTGGTAAGGATGGAGGATGTTTAAGCTTTGAACTGCTTCCCTCCTAAAACTGTTACATTCCAATGGGCACAAGTTGCGCTCTCTTATAAGCCAACTTTTTTTGTTTTTGCATATGAAGAAAACTTTTGCAATAGATGAAAGAAATATTGCTGTTGACTTCATTTCGACGTTTAAATATATGTACCTTTTTATACATACAGCTGTATATAATATGAATAAGAATCAATTAGCGAGAAACTTATAGATGCAGAGGGCTGAAGAGGGATGTTGACAAGGGCTGTTCTCTCCTTCTAGAAACCTGATCCCATCTCTGGTTTTCTCAGGGATGTGTGATTTCACCTTGTTGTAATTTTTATTGTTTATAGAACTTATAAAATTTTTATTT